GACTGGAACATACCGCATCTGTTCCCACGCCACAGAAAGGTCATCCAACAGAACGCATAAATCATTGAACAGCATTATTAGTAGCTCTTGAAAATAAAAGTGTGCTGAAGAGAATCCACAAGTGATTGCTGAGCAAATTGTTCACAGAACTGGGCTATGAGAAGACGGCAACCTCAGGGTTCAAGGCAAGCTGGCCAGTCCGTGATACACAGACACCCAACTCTACTGACTGGAGGACGGAAGCCCGGACTTCTGAGAATCAATGACTGAAGCCTTCAGTGTGGACTATGCCTCAACAAAAAGAAGAAGAAGAAGAAGAAAGAAAAACAACCTTCACAACTACACCAATCAGGAACATCCTGATAGATGGAGACAATATTAAAACCATCAAGGATTTCATTGTACTTGGCTCCATAATCAAGACCCATTGAAGCAGTAGAAATTTTGCTTCAAATATTCCCTCTCACTGCTACCAACTCTATCCCAGCTCCCAGGGACCCTACAGGACAGGGTAGAAATGCCTCAGTGGTAGCTGAGGCTGCAACTCTTTAAGGACTAGACAGCCCCAACTTTCTCCCACAGAAAACTGGGGGCTTTGAACTGCTGACCTTGTAGTTAGCAGCCCCAAACATAACCACTATGCTACCAGCACTCTATTTTGCTGCAAACGACTTCTTTAAAGTGTCAGAAAGCAAGACTTGAGGATGCAGGTCCACCTGACCTAAACTGCCCTATTTTCCATCGTCTCCTCTGCATGCGAAAGCAGGACAGGGGAGAGGGAGTACTGAAGAGCAGACGCCTGTGGCACGTGGTGCTGAGGAATAGTGACCGCATGATAGGCTGGCAAAGGAAGGAACAAATCTATCTTGGGAGAAGCACAACCAGAATTCTCTTTAGACATGAGGATGGTGAGCACTCACACATCTGACTTGCGATGAAGACTTCGGACTTGTTATCAGAAGGGACCAGTTCCTGGAGAAGGATCAGGGAAAAAGAGAAGACCTGAGCTCACAGATTACAAAACTGATGAAACTGGCACAAGACCCAGCCACGTATGTTCTGTTGTGTATAGAGCCGCTATGAGGCAGATCCAACAGGAGGGTGCCTAATGTGTACAGGAGCCCTGGTGGCATAGTGATTACAAGCTGCGCCGCTAACGGCATGGCCAACAGAGTGAAACCATCCACGACAGTCTGGGAAACTCACGGGGGCAGTGCCACTCTGTCCCATAGGGGGGCTATAAGTCAGGATGGATGGCAGTGACTTGTTGCTATCTTTAGTAATAACACACACATAAAATCAACTTTTAAACATACATTGTTTGTACTAGGGCACCCTGCTTTAGAAGGGAATCTAGAATTCTATTTGGAAGATTCAAGCATATTTTAATTTTCTCACTGATGTTGGGTCTAATGGCTTGTACTGAGGAGCTGGGCAAACATTCGATCCCATGTATGTATGAACGGTGCTTTTAAGTCTGTGTGAACGGTGCTCAGAGCCGGGCCAAGCTTAGGCACTTTATTGCTTAAAGCGTGGATTCCTTATGAATTAAGTTCGTGAATAATTTAAATGTGTTTAAAATTATAAAAGCAGATGGAAGTAAATTTGAATGTCAATGATAATGAGGTTCTTTTGTCCTTCATCTGATTTCTTTTTATTAAAAAAAAAATCAATGAACTCCATTTCCCATACACATTCACCCTCAGTCCTGCACAGGGAACTTAGCATGCTGAGACAAACCTTATCTCTATTTTTTCTTATATTAACAATCAATGTTAGTCCGATGCAATAGTTAAAAGAGTATTCTAATGAGCTCCCAATTAAAGCACACCATCCACAATAGTTGCGAATCATATAAATTCTGTGGGAATGTAAACCCAGTCAGGAGGAAACTGTCTTAAGCAAACAAACCCATTATGACCAAAGATGTGCTCACAGAGATCTCTATTTTATAAGAGTAATAATGAGTATGATTCATACATTTACTGTCTGTGTCATGTTTCCTCATAATAATTAAAAAATTGGTATCATTCTATAACATTAGCAGTATAGTTACTACATTTCCTATAGTTTCTGTAAATAAATAAAATGAAGATGAACATTTCAATAAAAGTAAGTAATATAACCAATTTATAAAAATAAACATGCAAATAATTGATACATAAGATTAAAATCTAGATTACTAGAAATGATAATCAATAGAAAATTCAATTTATAAAATTACTAGAGAACAAGGCACAAGTATACCCATAATAGAATATATATCTGATTTCTAAGAAGAAAATTAATGTGAACGTATATATATTTGTGTAAAGTACAAGTCATTGACTTGTGAGTTTTATTTTCTCATCAATATATTTATGAATTTTCTCATGTTTAACATGCCCATCTTCACATTTTAAACTGATTATAGAAATGGTTCATGGCTTGATAAAGTTAATAAGAATATGTATTATTTTATACCAAGTGAATTTCCACCTACCTTTTTACCAATAGATTATAAGTATGACCATTTGTTTGAATGTCGATCTCAAAGAAAATTTTCATTCCTTTCTTCCTTAACTACTTTTCTCAAGATTGGTAGAATATTTTCTCACATTTTGTTCGATGCAAGTAACAGCACAAGCAATTACAAACCAAACTGAAGCACCAGAACCACCTTATTTGTATCACACAACCCTGCCCCACTTTACACTCTTTTGGAGAAAAGAAGATAAACCAAAAGTGGGTGGGTTGGGCAGGTCGGAGGGCACTGGCCTGGGCTCTTTAATCAGACTGCCTCCATGCGACTCCTGAAACCTCCCGCAAGTCCGTGGACAGTTTGTTAGCCTTCTGTGTTTCCACAGCCTGATATATAAACTAGGGGAATGGGACCTGAGGGTAGTGGTAGTGCAGATGGTGCACGCTTCTTGATTACTATGAGGAGGGGGTGCTCAGTTGGAGAAAGATGCAGCAGAAACCTTATAGAGTGTCTCCCCTGTTCTCTAGGGTCTCTATGACTCAGCATGAACTACACAGCAGTCTGCTTCATGCTTTTGCTTTCTTGATGGGGCCACATCTTACCGAAGAGCATGAGCTTTCAATTGCCACTAGCAACCAGCAATTGGACACCCTCCCTCACTTGTAGGAGAGCTCTACAGAGGGTCGGGTTGCCAGTGATCAGATGGATAAACCTCTCTCTTGGACCACATTCTTGATGACAGGTTTGTTTTTAATAAAGGAGATATATGTCTGGGATATTTTATGGCTGCCTTACTCCTCTTATGATTTCTCCATTGGTAGAGAGCGTGTCTGGGCCGGCGCATTGCCATTTAATGTGTCCCACCTGCAGACTTTCCACCAAGGACATTATGAATCATAAATGTCACATGATATTGACATTCAGTAACACTAAATGTTTTATAAACACATGCATAAGTAGAATGATATTACGTATTAATTAAACTGTGGATATTTGTTATCATGATATTGGCATGATCACATAAGGAATAAATGGTTATAAGAAAAATAACAACAATGGTTGTAAATAAGAATGTTGTAAGAATATTGTAAAGAAGCTATATACCAGTCATGATAAAATTTATGAGGAGTTTATGGAATAAAACATACCGAGTTACTAAGATTATTTACCTCAGAGTGACAGGAACACAAAGTCCAGAGAGAGGGGAATTATTAACTCTGCCTTTACGTATCTTTAGATAGTTTTATATGTACCAAATATTATAGATATACCTGCATATTGATATTCTCATATATATATGCTTATGCATATCTTTATTGGCTAATTTACTGAATTGATCATCAGAGATTAGTATTCATACATATTTGGATCAGTTAATAATGAAGCATTGCCTGTCCAAATGTTAATTACTTTGATATAAAATTGAATCTTATGTATTTTCCAAGAGATTTTTACTTGTCATCAGTATAAATTCTAGTTTTTTCCCAAACTACATTTGCCTTATGATCAGTAATATACATGATAATAACATTTCTAGAATAGTGATTCTGTGTTATTGTACTTTGGCATTGCAAATATGAAATTCTTCCTATTTTCTTAGTTTCACCAATAGAGCAAAAAAGTACTCCAAATAAAATATGAGTAAATTAAACTGTTGCCATTTTCAAGGCAGCTAATATTTTACTGAGAATAGTGCTACCCCTAAAGCCAAAGCTTAAAATTGTCAGTCTGCTATTCTAAGCTTAATATTTATGGTTTGATCAAAGAGCCAACAAGTCCACTGCCTAAGCAATGATATGCATTATTATCCTGCCTACAGAGGAAGGTGTGTTCTGAATAAACGCTGAAGCCGAAAGCACAATAGGTATAGCGCAATAATAGGCAAGCAGCTATAATCTGCGTACCGTACCTTTTCATTTCTACTGAACAATTTAAGCAGCCTGTGATTTTTCCTGGACTCCTTAAATGGTAAACTGATTTATTCTAGAGGAAAATTTCCAAATACTGGCAACCATTTTTTGTTGTTGTTATTACAAGGAGAAATGAATGGGATTCAAATGGTAAGCTCCTCTGTTCACACTGCATGATTCAGATGAAGCTGGCTTAAAGAAATATACTATATGTGTTTATGTGCGAATATATGTGTATTTATATACACTTAATTTACAGTGGTAAGTGAGGACTCACCATCTAGGTAACAGGAACCCATCTGTGCCACCTTATATTTCTTTAAATTGGATTTTCACTATGATGTGTGCCTGACATATATTTGATTTAAATATTCACTGTCAACATTAACCCCTACAAAGTGTCCAAGTTAATGAAACCAACACAGTTCAATGTCATATTGGAGACCTAACCATCTCAAATAATGTCTTCTTTTTCCATGTCAGTGTGTATGTTTGTATAATTCCTCTCATTCTTTTCATATTGCCCTTCCCCCAGGTGTGGTATTTTAGAACTTCTCGTTTGTAAATCAACACATCTGGTGAGGGACAATTTTTGGTAGGCTTCAGACAAATCATCTGACATAATTACACTAAAGAGTGATGTATCTGAACTTTAATTCAATGAGCAAGTCTTTAAACACTATACTTAGCCCCTCTGCAATTAATTAAAGAAGGGCAAGGATATGTGTGGAGCACTGGGACTTTGCAATTTCGACTTAATAAGCACAGGGAGAAATTCAGGGGTAAGCATTTAGAGGGTCTCTGTGAAAATGACAATGCAAACACACCCAACTTGACCCACTAACTCACCCAACACAGTGAGCTCTGCAGAAGCACTGATATTCTCATTTTTATAAGTGACAACACAGGTGTAAGTTCCACTGTCATCATCGGTCACGTTGGAGATAAGCAAGTTGCTTCCACCCAATAGAGAATACTTTTTGGACCTATAATGTATGAAAAATAAAGTTAGAGTAACATATGTGTAACTCCTTGAGTCAAGTACTCAATGGTTCACATAAAGTCCACACAATAACATGTTAACCTTATAGATTGAATGATTAAATAAGAAAGAAACTGTGTGATAAGGGCTTATTAGTATCAGATTTGATGGAAAATTTACTCAGAGCAAGCTATTGAAAAACTCTGTGCAGTAGCAAAAGAAATGGCATAGATTAAACGTGGAAGAAATTATGATAACAAATATAGAGAAAATTTAATATACTGTATATACTCATGAATAAGTCGAGATTTTCATCACATTTTTATGAAATTTTTTGGTAAAATTAGGTGCCTCGGCTGATATTCGGGTCGGCTTATACTCAAGTATATACAGTAACTCGCATTTTATATTTCAGAATGCGAAGTTCTAGAGCAGTAGGTGTGCACCATGGAACTCAATGACATGTGGCCTGGTATCCATTTTAATCCCCAATGGCCAACATCTCATTTCAAAAAACAGAATATGAATAATTAGCTATGTCTAGAGATAAAATGTTGTCATGCTGATGTTACACCAAGATAGCTTTTATACTTTAGTATTCTTAGGAGGATTTTTGATGCCATACCAAATATTATTGTTATACAAGTAATTATTTCAGGTGAATGAAATGTAATGTAAGGATCAACTTTTGATATATGAACCTACTTAATCATAGAAAATAGATGTGTTAAGAAGCTGTATGCCAGTGACCAAATTCAATGAACTCAATTTCTTAAAATGAGAACCATTTTATCAAAATGTTTTGAATGGGTAGCTCATTCTACTAAGGGTCTACACTCTTGTCTTTTAAAAACTTTCACTGTGCAGTGGGTGAGGATTTTCAGGGCAGGAAATCAGTCTGACTTTTGATAATTCTTAAGCATTTCATTTCCAATTCATCTACTACAACCTCTTCGTTGTACCACCCTCTCTTCCTTAGTTTGTTTCCATTCTTCCTTCTTTCCTCTGAAATTATTCCTTCGGTATATTGTGCCCTTTTGATCTTAAGTGGGTAATTCTTCTAACATCGTGAAGAGTTCTATTCTAGACTTAGGTCTCAAGGGAACTGAGTGCGAGATCGTCTTGGAGATCCCACCAGTCTCTATCACAGTTGCAATCTCATCTCCTTGATGATGTTGAGTCTAACTGCTCCTGGTTGTGACCCACAGAGTCACACTTCTCTCCTGTCTTATCCTAAATCTTTTCAGTAGCGGGGAAGTTGAGAGATACCGTTGGAGCTAGAAAAATACTCGGGGCCTCTAAGAATGTGCTACAGATCTGAACTCAGGAATTGTGGTTTCTTAAAATAAAAAACTGTTTTACTCTCTGTAACATGCTTTTAGGATAATAGACTCTAAGGCATCTTGGCTGAAAACTTTTGGGGGCAGAATTCTCTCAATGAAAACCTCTGCATTTTTAAATTCCTTTTAGAATGATTTCATGGAAGTTGACTGTTTTCTTCACTTAGCCCCAGTCCCTAAATGCTTCTCTTACAATATAATGTCAAAACTAGCCAGTTTTCCTAAGAGATTTCCCCAAGTTTTAGGTTCTCACAGCAAATGAAAGAAAAACAAGTAGTAGCATATAATCCACAAAAATCTTTAACTGATAATACCTGAGTTGGACAACTTCCTCTCCTCGTAACCAGGTAAAACTTGGGGGCGGATAGCCAGAAACACAACATTCCAAGACAGCATCTTTTCCTTCAACGGCTACTACGTTGGATGGTCGTTGTAGAAAATACAGCTGCCTATGCAGGCCTGGGTCTGTACAAGGAAACATAAGGTTGCACCGTATATGAAAAACATCGCAAAGGTAACTGATGTCCATGTCCCCACCCCACCCAACGAAGTTCACCCGAGAAAATGCGGAAAGGATCAAACAATATCATCATTCATATCACAGGCAAGTGAAACTTAAAAGCTATTTTAACAATGGTTGCAAGCAGGACATCAATAGGGAGTTGCCAGAAATTCAAGCAAGATCCAGCAGAGGATGATGAGCAAGAAATATAATTGCTGAAGTCACATGGATCTTGGCTAAAAGCAGAGACTATCAGAAAGATGTTTTCTTGTGTTTTATTGACTATACAAAGCCATTTGACTGTGTGGATAGGATTCAGAACAATGGGACTTCCAGCACACTTCCTTGAACTCATTCATGCATAAACTGTCTATGGCTGAAGCGGCAGTTAA